GGGGTGGAAAGTATGGGAATTGTTGCTGATAATTGGTATATTGTGACCACCTGTAGGAATCGATAAGGAATTATTTAATTGACAAGTTCCTCCTTCTTGCCATTATTTTTTTACAAATAATATTACATTCTAATGATACCTCATTAATATACAAAAAATCAGACCTCTGCATTACTTAAGTGTTCTTCTTTCGTATAATGCTTTCCCTACAATTAAGATGGGGCCTAAGTAGGATAATGTAACATTTGGGAAAAAAGATGCAAGCCAATAGACCAGCCCCAGAGGCCAAGATGGAGAAGATCTCCACAGCTACCATGGACTTCCCTTTGGTGCTCAGGTAGGTGGGGAGGAAGGTGATCCAAACACTGCAAAAGACCAGCATGCTGAAAGTAATGAACTTGGCTTCGTTAAAGCTGTCAGGCAATTTCCTCGCCAGAAAGGCCATGATAAAACTCACGAGGGCCAGGAAACCCAGGTAGGCAAGGACAGCATAAAACATTGAAGCTGAGCCTTCATTACATTCCAAGATGGTCTCTCCTACCAAGGAGTGGAAGTCCAAGTTGGGAAATGAAGGGGAGGCTGCGAGCCAGATGGTGCAAATAATTGCTTGGACCAGGGGACAGCCTAAGACAATAGAGTTGGTCAGTGGTTTTCCCAAGAGTTTCCTTGCATTGTTCCCTGGCTTGGTGGCCATGAAAGCCAGAACCACCATGACAGTTTTTGCCAACACAGAAGATACTGCAAGGGAAAAGAGAATGGCAAAGGCAGATTGTCGGAAGAGACAGGTGAGCTTCCTGGGTCGACCAATGAAGAGGAAGGAGCAGAGGAAGCAGAGCAGGAGGGAGACCAGGAGGAGGTAGGTGAGATCTTGGTTGTTGGCCTTGACGATTGGTGTATCATGGTGCATCAGGAAAATTGCCAGAACTGCCATTGTGATCACAGAGAGAGAAAGAGTGAGAGAAACTAAAGTGTATCCCAGGGTGTCTTGATAAGAGAGGAAGTGGATCTTCTTGGCAATGCAGTGGTCCTGGTGCTTGTTGGGATACATGTCTTCTGGGCAGTGGTCACATTGATCTGCTTCTGAAGTCAAGAATCTTTGTCTAAGTATGCAGGAGTATCTACAGTGAGCATTATCCCTCCTGCCCAGAGCTACAGGTATGGCTCCTTTCTACAGGGGCCAACTCAAAAAGAAAGTGATGGAAGGACCCCTGGGAACCTTACATGCACCGAAAAGGGCAAATCGCCCTTGGTTCAAAATGTCTCTCCGTCCACCCCTCCCCCCCCCCCCCCGCCTCTCTCTTTCCTTCCCTTCCTCCCTCCCTCTCTCCCTCCCCTATTTTGCCTTTTTTATTTATTTTGATCTATTTAATGTCTGATCCTGGAAGATGTATATTTGATGTATGTTCTACCTGTCTGATCAGAAAAGGTCCCTTCTGGACAAGGGGCACAGTGGTAGCAGCAAACCTCCTTGCCTTCTGGAACGCTCTTCCTCTCTCCTGCATGGCACCTCTTCATGGTACACCTGCCATAGGGCACCTTCTAAGACAGCAAAGAGAACTGTTTGAAAAGGTCTATTCAATGGTCATGCATCATTTAATTTCCACACTGATGTCTCTGTAAGGACCTGCCTCAGCTACCTTCTCAAGAAAGTAAAACTCTTGAAATTGTTAGCATTTCAAAAGGAACTTTTACTGAGAAATTGTGATTGCAGAAAAATCAGGTGGAGTCCGTAATTCATGTGTCAAGCATTAGGCTAACCTTCCCCTTCAACCCTCACCCCAATACCCCATGTCCACCGGTAACCAATAAAAGGCTGCAAAGGTGTTTTGGAAACTCCAAGGCGGGATGGTGAGAAGAGGTTCAAAAGTACTTCTAATGTCAACTTGTAGAACATTCCTATGCCTTTTTCCTATGCCTTTTTCCAAGTTGCTATGAGAAAGAGGAGGGGAAAGACCTGAAGGAGCATTTGGCAAATTAAAACACTCTTATCTCACAAAGATTGTAACTTAGGCAACCGGGTATTCTACCCGCGAAAATCCTCTTTTGGAGAATGTGAGTGGTGACACTCAGCCCATGAATGTGCTTCTTTGGAGAAGCTGAGTTATGATACACCCAAGGGGGTGGGGGGAAGACAGGGTCATAGATGATTGTAAATTACGAGTCTCTGAGTTGGCTTGATACAGGTCATACCAGCATGTTGCTCCTCATAAATCGTTTGAAGTTTTTTGAAGCTTGCCTCAAGGCTTATGATTTAATCAGGGCAATTGTCGGATTCCTGATAGCAAATTTATTTCATGCTATCTATTCACAAGAATCTGATCTACTAAAAGTCAAGGCAAATTGGTGCCAGATAAGAGTCATCCAAATTCAAGGGGAACTGGACTAAGGTCTTTTACATGGGAGTAGCGACCCCAAACTGATGATTTGTTTGACTTCACCCTAGGGTTCATCCTGGTCATCTCCTACTGAAACATATCCAAGAGAGATTGAAAGGAGAAGATTCGTGACTTCAGAAGTGGTGGGTGCTTCATTATTGAAGGTTTTCAATGGCATTATTGGACAGACGTTTGTGTGGAAGGGTATAAGATCTCCTGCAGGGGGTTGGACTAATATAGAAGACCTGCAAAGTTCCTTCTGTTTTTAACAGGAAACCTCAGCTGCCCCAGCACTGCAGCTTGAAGCATAGATGCATAAAGAAAAACCTCCAGTTGCTGAAGCCCATCTGCATGACACAAAGCAGAGACCCAGCTGCAGCCATCTTCATACCTGGCACTCTAAGTCCCATGCTCCATCACCCCAGCTGACTTTCACCATCATTTTGCTCCTGATGAGCTGTGTCTAGCCAGCCCTTTGGAGAAATGGCTGTCTACATGAAGTGATTTTCTGAGGTCTTGTGAGTAAGCTGCTCTGTGCGACCTAGGCGAGAAGCCAAGGGTGGGATTCAAATTTCTTAACAACGAGTTCTGTGGGTGTGGCCTAATTTGTGGGCATGGCTAGGTGGTCACGTGACTGGCTGGGCATGGCTTATATAAATATTGAATTATTAATTAAAAAGAGCAACTTTTACCCAAAATCAGGCAAAGAGGCAGGCAGATTGAGTTGCTCACAGAATCACAGATTCACTCAGAGATTTATCTTTCTGCAATCTGCTACCTGAGTTTGCACTGAAAAATAGAAGCTTCAGTCCTAAGGAAGGCTCAGCTCTGCTTTTGGATTAACGAGAAAGCAATCCAAATCTCCCAGCGCAGCTGAAAGTCAGAACAGCTGATGGTCAGAGGGGGAAAAAAAAAAGGAAAAATAGCAACTTAGCAAAAATTAGGTGGAGGAACAAGGCAGGCAAGTTGGATGGCGTACATGCTAGGTAAGGAGTGCGTGGGCAGGGTGGGGAGGGGAGGGGCCAGCCAGTGTCGTGGTTTGCCAGTTCTCCGAACTGTGCAGAATCATAACAACCGGTTCTATAGAACGGGTCTGACCAGGTAGGATCCCACCCCTGCAAGAAGCCCTTTGTGTGGCCAGAAGCTGCCTTGTGAAGATTAAGTCCAGACATGCATCATCACCAATAGGAGCAAAAAGATAGCGATGGACAGCTGGTGTAGCAGGTGATAGCCAGGGCCACAGAGCATAGGAGGCTAAAAGAGCAGAGATGGTAGAGGTAGTGGCTTTGATAATGTGAGCACAGGGACACCAATAGCGATAACTTTGAGCACTGGGGGGAAGCACGATTCATTCAGTGCCATAATAGCTTCAAATGATTGTTGAACAGATGGCCATTAAGTGAGGAATACCTGAAATTATATTCTTGCTCTCTGGCTCTGAGCTACAGCTTTTTCTTAATGAATCATAATGTTCAAACTAAACAGGAATGAGCTCATATGTGTCTGCGTGTGTGTGTGTGTGTGTGTGTGTGTGTGTGTGTGTAAACATTTTGAATACAGTGTATTGTCAGGGCATATCATGAATAGCAAAGAAAAGAAAGAAATATTAACATATATAATTAACAACAACAACAGTGTAACAGAATAGTTTTGACTAGATTTCTCTTTATATTAGCTTATAATAATTTTGTTGGTTATATAAGCATTTTCATAATTTTAAACCATCTTTTTATTTAGTTCTTACATAGCAATAATCTTTCTTCATCTAATTTCTACCTCTTATCTCTAACCACTTGCAAAATCTATTCCATGTTAAGTAGCATTCTGTGCCTTCTTTGCCCTTTATTTTTAATGCCAATCTCTGCACACAGTCTAATATTTTCTGAATTATATCCTCATTGGATTTTTCCAGTATTGTGCAAATACAATCCTTGCTGCTGTCAATACATGCAAAACTAAATATATAGCTCCTTTTTCATAGCCCTACGGCAATATACCCAACAAATAATATTTCTGCTTGACTGATGCCTTCTGTAACTGCACTCTGGGTTTCAGCCAGAATATTTTGCCAATCCTCATACTTTGCAGACATGGCACAAATCAAACTTGAATCTGTTTTATGGAAAAATAGATCTGTCACCAGACAGCGTTCATCTTTTCTGATTCAGCCCACCTTTTCTTCAGTGAGAGGGACATGAACCTTTCTCTGGATTCAGAACCTTTCCTTCTAGCTCACCTTTCTGGCCCAGGTGATTGCCTGTGAGTTGATGATAAAATCCTGGCCTGGAGGAGCCCTGGGATGTAGTTGCCCAACTTTCATGGGGACAAAAGACTGATTGGGGAGGAAAATCCAGTTGAGAAGATCATAATGAGGAGACACCAGGCCATTTTCTGAGAAGGAGACTTCCTCTCCAGCACTGCTGTTGAACTGCACATTCCTCATATAGGCAAGAAGCTGAAAGAAAAGAGAAAGTGGGGTACTTAGAAATGAAACATCCTGTCTTCTATCATTCCCTGGTGACCATCATTGAAGAAGGAGGAGGAGGAGGAGAAGGAGAAGGAGAAGGAGAAGAACAAGAAGAAGGAGGAGAAGGAGAAGGAGAAGGAGAAGATGAAGGAGGAGGAGGAAAAGAAGAAGAAGCAGAAGCAGAAGGAGGAAGAGGAGGAGGAGGAGGAGGAGAACAAGTAGTAGTAGTAGTAGTAGTAGTAGTAGTAGTAGTAGTAGTAGTAGTGTCTTTGGTGCATATACTCTCAATGTACATAAAGAAAAAATAAAATACATTCATCAAGAATGTGATAGTGATAGTCATAGATTACTAATAAGCAATCAAATCATACTAGGAAACAAATAAAACAATATAAATCATAAAGATACAAGCAACAAGGTTATATCCATGAGTAGAAAAGGAGATAGGTAACAGGAAGGATGAGAATAATAATAATAATACAGTTTTAGTAAATAATTTGATAATGTTGTGGGAATCAGTTGTTTAGCACAGTGATGGCATTCAGGAAAAAATTGTCCTTGTATCTAATTGTGAAGATAATTACAAATCTTGAAAGGTAGACATGTTAGCTGAGAGATCACAAGCAGCATCAAATCATAGGAATGTCAAAGTTCCAAGTAATACATCCCCAACAATGAGAACTCTGAGGCAGGCATATTCCTCAAAGAGCATTTTATGGGAATATCTCAAATTGGCAAAATTTTAATTCCAGGGGACATTCAATCAGGCTGCTTTCTCTTGTCCCTTCATGATCAAGAGGCAACCCATGCACAGCCTTTGATGCAGGACAGCCTGATGAATTTCAGAGAAGCAGGAAGTCTCTAGACCCACTTTAACTTGGAATCCTTCTGTGAATTCTGAGATTCACAGAGGCTCTTTTCACACAGCAAGCTGAGTAGAACAAATGATAGGCTCAACAAAGGCTCTGTATCCTCACAGGATGCTGATCCATTACAAATAAAGCAAGTTAAAATAAATCAGTACTTACTAAAAGAAACTGGTGATTCTACAAAGGTGGCCAGTGGGACTTTGACTGACCCATTGAAGATTCACATTCTCAGCGTTCCAACGAAACTCCCCATACTCCTTCATCACTCAGGCACAGCGTTCATCCAAGTAAGAATTTATTAGAGAAGTTATATAGGAATATATGGGAAAACCCAGATATGAGAGTTCTGGATTTCCCCCCGGTAACTGAAAATCCAAACCCAACCCCTGCACCCATCAGTTCATCACATGGACCAATCGCCCCAACTGGAGCCATCCCTTCAACCACTCCTTCCCCAGCTGCAGGGTGGCTTGTCCTTGACTCAGAAGAAGAATGTGGTTATGTCTAATCTTCCAGCTCTCTGTAAGATCCCCCTGTCAAGGTTCCAGAAAACCCCAATTCCAATTAAAAGCTCCAAGACAGACATTTTCTCAAAGTTCCTTTTATTAGAGTAGTTATACTGGCACATCTGGGAAAACCCGAATCTGAAAGTTCTGGGTTTTCCTCCAATAAGTAAAAAAATTACAAATCCACCCCCTGCACCCCTCATTCCATCACATGTCCCAATCATTATCCGTTCCAACTTGAGACATCCCCTCAACCACTCCTTAGCCAGGTGCAGGAATAACATGACCTTGACTTTAAAGAAGAATGCTATTATGTCTAACCACAAATACTCCATGAAATTCCCCCTCCCATCTTCCCACGCTCAAGAATGTGGCAGCATGGAAGCTTCTGGTGCTAATATGGCTTCCAAAGCTGACACCCCCCTCCCAAATTCCCAAGCACTAAAATGTGGCAGCGTGGACGTTTCTAATGAAATGTGGTTTCCAAGCTGACCCCCATTTTGTCATCTTGCTCTGGGTTGACATCTGCTGGAATGACGTTTGATCCCCTGAAACTCAAGCAACCTTTGAAGACCTTATATGAAGAACTTTCCATTCTGCAACTCTTTGACAACATATTTGGTTACCCTTCCCGTTTTTTTAATCAAATCATTTATTGTATGTTAATGGTTTACTGTATTTTTTGGATGCAGTTAGATGAGTGGCATGAAATATTTAATCAATTAACCAAGAAACATTCATTCATAGGAATTTTGAAGAACCTGCGGACTGTACACAGAAAGTACCTGCCATGACTGGACATTTGAGATCCTCTTTCCAAACCTCAGCATGGCCGATTGTGCTCTTGATCCACACATTGCATGTAATGCATGGGCCACAGCATGAACCCCATTGTAGATAATGTAACTTTCACCTGCCATATTTGTTTCAAACACAAAAGACGGCAGATTCTGTAAACTCTCCTTTCCGGTGCACTGTTTTTCCTCCTTTTGAGGGATCGCTCCTGGTTTATGGATCTTGCAGTCGAAAACATCTTCCCACCATTGTGCTAGAAAGACATCTCCTTGAGGATTCAAGGGATCTAAAGATAGAAGAAAGTGCCGGAATTCTGGAAAATCATAGCTATGATCCCTGAAATGCAAAGCACCATGGAAGGGCTTTTTGAGTTCCAAAGTCTGGTGATATATGCTGATTTCCCAGTGGGAAGTCAGGATCCAAACATTTTGAAATGCAATCTTCGTCCATTTTTCAAACAAATGCAGAGAAATGTATATAGTCGGAATACACTTGTATTCTCCAAACAAAACGATCACTTCAGCTTTAAACCAACTTTTGATTAAAGGAATATATTTTGACGGTGTAAAGGAATAAGGTTCATGTTTCACCATTTGAGTGAAGGCCAGGCAGATCTCCTTCAACTCCAGCATTGGCCTCAGAGACGAGATAAAATGTTCTCCCCTGTCACCTTCAGGGGCCAGAAGCCCAACCCAGTTCCACTGGAAATGCAGGAGCAGCTGGACTAAACCACGATATTGAGGAAATTCATTGGGACTGATCCGGAAAAAGGAAGGATAAACAATTCTGTCTCCCTGAGTGAATTTGAGGAAGTGAAAACCCAGCTGCAGAAAAGGAGAGTCTGATTTTACAAATGAATTTTTCCTCACAAGTTCATCTTTTATGCTGAGATCAAGGGTCTTCATCCTTATTAAAAAAATATACTATCTTCCATATTGACATCGATTATATAACCATCAAAATATTTACTAATCAGTTTTTCTCTCTCATTTAATCCATATTTTACATAAATTTACACATCTAACCTCTGTACCTATCAACCGGCCATTTGTAGAAAAGTTCCCATGTTATAAAATATTCCGAATCTTCTTTTTCTTTCATTTTTAGAGGATACTTTCTAATAAAGATTGATATTATCTTATATATGTTTTGATGTACATGACTATAATGATTATGTTTATATTTTAACACTTTGGACACCTAGAAAACACACTGTTCAATATAGAAATGGAATTTGTGATACAAAACAATAAATATATTTCTAAACAAGGGCCTCCATCCTGTAGCTTTTTGCCAAAAAAATATTGGTCAATTCACTTTGAGCGGAGTGTCTTCCAGTTACAGTGAAATACAAACGGAAGACCAGGCTTCTGAATGCTTCTCCTTTGCTATGTATAAGCAAGATGGGTTTGTTCGATAAATTATACTCTGTTAATGAGCTTACATTCACAACTTTTCTGTTTATCTTTGACTAATGTATCGCTTTATAAAAGCCAAGTAAGGCCACACCTGGAATACTGCAACCAATTTTGGTCACCATACTACAAAAAAGATCTTGAGATTTTGGAAAAAGTTCAGAGAAGAGCAACTAAGATAATCAAAGACCTGGAGAAGAAAACATATGAAGAACATACAAGTAACTATATATTGTATAACATACAAGTAACTATTGAAGTATCTTCCTTTCTCCTTATGAAGAGCCACTGACATTGGTACTGGCAGGTGAAAAGCCCGATCCACACAATAAACCACATTGAAACAAGGTTACATTTACAAAGAACCAGTTAGAACGGAATTCATCCAGGAAAGCATTTCAGAAATTCCTTATTCTTTATCTCTTTGCAATGTGGGTGTAAAAAAATAGATCCAGCACACATGATATAAATAAAAAAGTTGAATGAATTCTCCAAATCATGCATTCCTGATTTCCTCCAAGTAACTTTTAGCATCCTTGCTGGCTTCTGTGGTGTGTTTATGTTTTGCGTTTGCTCTGTACTGGTACCCTATGGAACCCCCTTACCTGTGGAACCTTGAAGATGCTGAAGATGGAGGCCATCTGCCTTGAGTGTTGGGAGTTGAGACCTCCAATGACAGAGAGTAGAGTGTCCTGCTTGTCACATTTGTAGTCTGGAACCATTCGGCCTCGTGTAGACAGAAGAGAGAGGCTGTTCCAGGAAATCCTCCTAACAGTGTCTTTATTGTCATAAATATGGAAGCCGAGTGTGATGTTGGGAAGGAGAACTAAATCCTTATTGATTTTTGTTACTGCAAGAACGAAGGCCAGAAAGAGCTGGTAATTCTTGAATGTAGTGCTGTAATGAGAAAACATTTGGGAATATTATAGGGAAAGTTTTTAAGCCAAAAGAGCTAACACAATCCTGGGTTGTATAAACAGAGGCACAGAGTCCAAATCACGTGAAGTATTAGTACTGCTTTATAAAGCCTTAGTAAGACCATACGGCAATCAATTTAGGTCACCACACTACAAAAAAAGATGTTGAGACTTTGGAAAAGGTTCAGGGAAGAGCAACTAAGACGATTGAAGGCCTAGAGACAAAAAACATATGAAGAACATTTGCAGGAATTGGCTATGTCCAGACTGGAGAAAAGAAGGTGTAAAGGTAACATGATAGCAGTATTCCAGTATTTGAAGGGCTGCCACAAAGAAGAGAGGACTAATCTATTTCCCAAAGCACTAGAAAGTAGGACATGAAACAATGGATTAAACTAATGAAGGAGAAAAGCAACGTGGAATTAAGCAGAAGCTTCCTAACAGTCAGAACAATTAACCACTTGCCACCAGAAATTGTGGGTGTTTCATCACTGGAGATTTTTAAGAAGAGACTGGACAGTCACTTGTCTGAAATGGTCTAGGGTCTCCTACTTGAGCAGGGGGCTGGACTAGAAAGACCTCCAGGGTCCCTTCCAGCTGTATTCTATTCTTATGTGCTGCTGGAGGTTGCTTGTCCTTGAGTGTTAGTGTGTGTGTGTGTTCTTCTGGACTTTGAGGAGTTGAATCCATTTGCTGTGAGCCTTTGGGGAAAAAAAAGTGAGGGATAAAATTATATTGATGGTATTGCCCTGAAACTAGGGCCAATGTAGAGAAGCGTTGAGAAATAGCACATATGCAACCCTAAACAGTCATGGTTCAAACAAGGGAGAAATATCTAAGGAAGCATTAGCAGTCTGAGTGTCTGTTTGAAAAACTCTCTCAGCTTTGGGAACCTCAATACTCCACAGAACAAATTTGCTAAAGGCCCTTACAAAAGAACACTAAGGATTCCAAAACTGGATTTGCTTTTCTTTTCTTTTTTTACAATTCACACCTTGTAAATAGATTGACTTTCTCATGATTTCTATCCAAATTAATAGGTCAACTCCTTCCTTAAGCCAGAAGCATTTCTAACATGTACCCTCTTCTTCACTTTTTAAGCTGTTTATCATCCTCCTGATGAAACTGGGAGATTCCATCTCATTTTATGAGGATGGCTCTTTATCTAGAAAAGCATCAAGGCTTCTGAACCAGAAGAGATTTTGGAAGCATCACTAGAACAAGAATTTCTGAATGGAGCCTCTGAATCCCAGACAAGATATAGACAACTCTCTAGTCCATTCCCTTCCATGTGAAACATACCTTCTTGTAATTGAAGTCTTTGATGGCTGACGGTTAAATTTCAATGCTTGAAAAAGAGCAAACTTTTCTAGGAGCAAATTCCCCCCAATAATGAGATCGCCAGATCTGTAGTAGTCCTTCACAGTTCTCAAAGGGTTCTTTGGTGCACAAATGTTTTGCAATATCTTGTGAGCTGGTGAAGGCAGGAGCCAAAAGAGAAGCAGAAGGAGAAACAGCCCATTCATTATTCTCACTTTCCTTCCTAGATGAAAAATCAATGTTCATAGAGAACTTGAATTGCTGGAAGCTCTCAAAAAAAAAAAAAATCTCACCAAGTCTTTAGGAGTAAATCAGCAAGCTGTACCATTTTGGTACACCTTGGGGCAATGTAATATCAAGTATGTTTTTGCTAACCTGCTTTGACTTGCCACAAAAGAGAACGTTTAGCCAGTTAAGTTTCATTGGTCCCTAGAAATTATCTCGTTGTATGAGCGAGCAGCTAAGGTGGTACATCCAGCCTCCCTTGGGAATGCTCTGGAGCCACTTTTCTCCTGGCATCTTTGGGGCTGCCACAGTGGAGGCCAGATGAGCTGTGGGAATGGAAGGGGGGAGGTAGAGGTAGCAAAGGGATTGTAATCAAAATGAAATTCTTTCCTCTGAGAGCCAAGGACGTTCCCACCAGTTGCAAGAAGGTGGGGTGTGAGGCC